AGGGTTTAGGGTTTAGGGCGCGATAATGTAGCATATACCGAATGTGCTTGCTTGGCTTAGGGCTTTGGAGTTTACGGATTATATGCTATATACTGGGGCGCTTTTGTGCCTCGGGAGTTTGGGTTCAGGGTCCTGGCTGGTTCGAAGAATTGTGCATGATAGGGCTCAGGGGTTATTTGCTGCCCTGTCCTTTTCCTAAACCCTAAACCCTAAACCCTAAAGGCTCCAGGGTTTAATTAAGAATTGGGGAGTGGTTTGGGCTTTCGGGGCGCGGACTCGGACTTCGGCTGAGGACTTGTTTCCTTTGAAGGGTTTCCTAAGGGTCCTCCCGTAAGAGTTCTTCGCCCTCCTCGTCCGCAGTCCGCTGCTAGCCCAACCCTAAACCCTAAACCCTAAATCCTAAATCCTAAACCCTAAATTCCTAAACCCTGAACCCTAAACCCTAAATCCTAAACCCTAAACCCTAAACCCTAAACCCCTAAACCCTCAACCCTATAGCTCTGCTGCGTGCTGCGCTCATCGCGCCCTGGCCCTTCACGATCTCCCGGGCACGAGGCGTGCGACAAACTAAGTGGCCCGCCACCCAACGTACCCCCTAGAGCACCCTTAGGGGAGTTTCCGAAATTGAGGGGTACCTTATTTTGGGGGGTCCTTATGATAAGAACTCGAATATTTAGGGTAATTACTATATTAGTGTCCCCTATTTTCGGAAACACCCTTATACTACCCTGAGAGTACCCTTGGGTACTATGATACCCTCGTAGTACCCTCATAGTACCCTTATAGTACCCTTATAGTACCTTGTAATACCCTTATAGAGCTCTGACAGCACGTGGATCTTCGGGGACATTGTCACCATGTGGACCATCCGAATCTCGATCACGGCCTCAACTTGGAGGTTCATGGGTAGCTATAAGCGGTGGGGGCTGTAGGTCCCCTTAGTATAGGCTCTAACTGTAGTTGTCCTACTTACTTACTTGAAACCCTAAACCCTAAACCCTAAACCCTACCCCCTACTTATAAGTAACCACGAACCACCAATTCAATTTCAAGCCCCTTCCCGCTTATGGTAAGTAGCTACTGCTGACGGCCACACCAATGCCTTGTTCACTTTTATTGTAGTATACCCCCAGACCCAATTCAAACTATCCAGGCACCGGGCTATCCATAGCATCGCTGAGGGTGCTTGAGGTGGTGCACTGTTGTCCATCAGCCGAAACTTGAGCAGGAGAAGAAATTGTGGTAGCAGCAGCAGTAGTAGCCGTCGTCTGATCATGGCTCTCGGATTAGAATCTTAATGCTTCACGTAAGATCGCAATTGTCGCTTCTAAAACAGTAGCCACGGCGATGATGCTGATGTGATGCTGATGAAGATCATGCTGATGCTGATGATGATAATGACGACGATGCTGATGATGATGATGATGATGATGATGGTGGTGATGATGATGAAAAGAGATGGTCAGGCTCTTGCTGAAACCCACCAGCCTCATGTTGCTGAGTAATAGTACCGTTTAGAGGGGACCCTGTTATAGGGTCATAGAATACCCTTCAAAGGGGACCCTATTCTAGTACCCTGGAATACCTTTTAAAGGGATCCAAGTATAGTACCCTGGAATACCCTTTAACAGGAGACCCTATTATAGTACCCTAGAATACCCTTCAAAAGGGACTCTATTCTAGTGCCCTAGACTACCCTTCAAAGGGGACCCTATCAACCGCCAGCCTGTTGAAGCTTCGTGAAGCGGGCGCGAGCTGGTGCGATCCGCTTCTCGCACTCCTTGGCCGCCGACTCCACCTCAGTCTCATTCTAACAGAACAAAATACTATACAATATACTATAATATATTGGAATATACTAAAACATATTACAACATACTCTAATATGATATAATATAATATTATCTAACCTTATCTGATATAGTTTGGTATAGTATAGTGTAGTATAGTCTAGTCTAGTACAGGGCTACGCTGCGGAGGTGTGAGGGGAATCTATAAGGAATCTATAGGACCAACTTTCTAGACTAGGGCCTCTAGCAGGTTTAGGGTCTTACTGTTTTTTTATCGGACTTGCGGGTCTTTAGGGTTTATGATTACCTCAGAATCCAGAGACTCTACCATGCCCCGAGCTTCATAGATTTCCTCGGCTCTTCGAAGGGTCGAGGGTTCCTTGGATATGCCGACCATCATCCGAAGCACTGATGAAAGATCCCTGTATGTGTAGACGTAGACTGCTGATTAAGGCCCCTAAACCCTAAACCCTAAACCCTAAACCCTAAACCCTAAACCCTAAACCCTAAACCCTAAACCCTGCTTCAGGAGCCTCTTGGGTGTTTTCATCGTCAGGGCTTCGTGCGTGGGGTCCTGGGAGTCCTAGGGTTTTGGGCTTAGGGCGTAAAAGTCCTAGGGTCTTCAGGGTTTAGGGTTTAGGGTCTTCAGGGTTTACGGTGTAGAGCTTAGGGTTTAGGGTTTAGAGGCTAGGGTTTAGGGTTCATTGTTTAGGGTTCAGGCAGGGTTTAGGATTTAGGGTTCAGGGTCTTCAGGGTTCCGGGTTTAGGGTTCAGGGGTTTTCAAGCTGCATCCCGTCTACATCCAAGCACCGACAAGACCGCGAACGACACGACCGCAGAGGCTGGAAGCAAACTACAGATGGGTAGTTTTCTAAATGAGGGTCCCTTTTAGGGTCCTTTTGAAAAGGGTGCCGTACAACATTGGGGTCCGAAAAAGGGACCCTGATTTAGAGAACCACTCAGATATATTTACGCACCTCTTTCCCAGACCGCATAGAAAGCAAGAAGCTTGAGAATCCACAGGCCCTGAACCAAAAAAGTTTGACGCAAAATATAGGCCCTGTACTTACCTCACAGGCCCTCCTTGGCCCTGAACCAAAAAAGTTTAAGGCAAAATATGAGCCCCTTACTAACCTCACGGGCCCCTCCTTCCCGAGAAAAGCCTAAGCCCCAAAGCCTTGGGCCATATCACCACAACCTTGAAGCCCGAACACCCTAACGCCTTCAACACTTAAGCCGCAAAAACTTTGCTGCCCCAAAAGCTCTGATCTCGGGGCCTGAAGTGGGTGTAGGGTTTAGGGTTTAGGGTTGCAGGGTTGTAGGGTTTCGGGGTTAGATTATAGTTGAACTGTAGAGGGGTTATGATAGTAATAGAATACATACAATGACCCGTTCCCTGCACTTCAACCGTTTCAACAAAAAGACCCTATACCCCGATACGGACCTTACAGAAGCCTACATAGTCACTTGTAGGGGAACCCTTACAGGATACCTCAAAAGAAACCCCAAAACCCCAGCACCAACGCCGCCTCATCGATGGCCGACTGCAGCATGTCGCTCTCCCCGTCGGGGGGTTCAGCCATAAGGGGATCCTTGACAGATGCGGTGGGTTCAGAGTTCGCCCTTTTTGGGCCGACCCTAGCGGCTACTGTGATCTTCTTATGTCTGTAAGCTTCCTACTTGGAGGTTCATGGGTAGTTATAAGTGGAATTATAAGTCCCCCAATATAGGTTATAATTATAGTTAGCCTACTTATAACCCTACTTATAACTACCCATGAACCTCCAAGCAAACTGGCTCCATCATCGGAATTCGGGTTCATCGTCGAGGCTTCGAGCTTAGTGCTGCCAGAGGGATTCACGCGGGCACTGAAGCGGTGCTTCTGCAGCTTCTGCCCTAAACCGGGTCGGGCTTTGGTAACATGTCGGGTTGATAGAGGGCCAACACAGAATGGGGTCTTGAGCACCAAATACGCACGTGCGCGTGTGCGCATGAAGGCTCTCTGGTACCCCACCCAATCTGCTTACTTCAATGTCTGTACAGTGCTGTCAGGCACCATGAAGAATCAAGACCCAAAGCCTTAAACAGTGCTAGGGTTCCGGCTGTAGGCGTTAATGTAAGGATTGGGGTTTCAGGCTCTGTTGCTCACCTGCAGAGGAGCACGTCGACCCCTGTGACATCAGAAGGCCAGCTACCGCAAACCTTACACCTTAAAATGGGGGCTTCCGAAAATAGTATAATACCCCAAATAATAGGATCCTTATTATAAGGACCCCAAAATAAGGTACCCCTAATTTTCGGAAACTCCCAAATCGGAGCATACCAAAACCAACCCCAGGAGCTGGCTACAATCCCTGACACCCCAAACTCTGCGGACATAAGCACGAAACCTCCACATCCTAGAGCCCTACATTCCAAGCGCCAAATCCGGCAAAAGCCGAAACACGAAAACCCTGCACCCTGAGCCCTAAGCCCTGTACCCTGAACACCAACACCCCAAAACGACCCTAAACCCTAAAAGGCCCCAAAATCTAAAATCCAACCCAGCCCTGAAGTCACCCTTTGGAATAACCACTCGAAAATCATGATTTGGAAACCTCTTGAGGGGGGTCCTTATGATGGAACCCCTATATGAGCCCCTGTAGACCCCGATTAGAACATACATACATACATACGTGTATATATATATATATGTATAATATGTGTATACATCTTACACTTTTGAAAGCCCTAATGAGGAATATACCTCAAGCTACGGCGGGTCGGGGTCATGGATATGATCTAAGGTGCAGTCCTGAATTCAGGGATTCTTGTTGGAATTTTGGTTTAGCTGAGAGGCAGCCATGTCCACAATAGACCGTACCGACTCCTGCAAAGCTGGGGCCCAGCTTGGGCTCAAAATTTTCGGACCCAGAGTTTAGGGTTTAGGTCCAGGGTTTGAGGCTGTCGGTTGTAGGGTCCAGGGCCTAGGGTTTAAGGGTTTGCTCTTTGGGTCGAAAGTGTAGGGTATATGAGGGTCCCCTAGTCTCAGGAGCGAAACTAAGACCCTTTATATAAGGACTCCTTCCACAAAAGACGCCACGTCACCCATTATACAGCCCATATAAGACCCCATTGCTAAACCCTTCCGGGATATTTTTGTCCTCGATGCGGTTTGGCTAGCGACGCAACTCCAACTGGCTCGGCGTGGCGTAGAAAGCCTACCCCTGGTCCATGTACTTATAAGCATATACGTTGGCCTGGAAGTATCTGTCGAGGAACCCTTCCAAGGCCAAGGTACGAAGTGTAAGATAGAAACATATCTGCACAGTACCGGGCGACAGCGGCTGAGTAAGTAGTGATAGCTACGTGCTACTTTGACGACTCCACAACATACGGCACCACAGCGCTGTCGCAGCTATGACAGCTATGAAGGCGCCTCATTCACAGTAAACCCAGAACATCTAGAAATCGTACAGATCCGAACCATGTTGCGAGTCAAAACCCCTCGACCCAGATTTAAAAAGACAAACATCCACAAAACTCAATTTTGCCAAAAACTGATGCAACACACTATACTCTCTCTCTCTCTCTCTCTATATATACTCTCTCTCTCTCTATATATATATATATGTCTATATGTATATATATATATATATCTAGCAAAGGCAATATTAAAACAAAAACGTAAGGTCCTCGATTTCGGCCATCTCCTCCTCCGCCCTGGCGATGTCGGAGAGCTCGGCGGCGGCCTAGTCAGGGACAGCAGCTGTGCGACGGCCAGTTTTCGGTTTCAGGGTTTAGGGTTTAGTGTGTAGGGTTTAGGGCTATGGGTTTAGGG